GGTGACAGTGTTTGGTATCAGGTGACAGTGTTTGGTATCAGGTGACTGTGTTAGATGTCAGGTGACTGTGTTTGGTATCAGGTGACTGTTGAACTTGAAGTTAGTAGTTCATGTTATTCTCAAGACTCCTGAAATGTAATATCGTTAATTTCAAAACTGTGCAAGACAACCCACGACACAGCACACCATTTTGTTGGGGGGTATAACAAATTACCTGTCTTCGGTTGGCAACAAAAAAGCCACCTTTCTATGAAGAAATATGAATAAAGAGACATGCATTCATAAACACAAACCAAAAAAAAAATACAATACAGGTATTTAAATATTCAGGCCTCGAAATTGCAATATTGATTCAAACTTTTGTCTAAAGAAACTTTTCCCTTTGTCCATTAAAACAGCATGTGAAATAAAAGAAACATTTTAAAAATATTTATAATATTTAGATGATTTTTTTCCTCCTCAAATACATTTGCTACAGTGTTTTTGCAAATTGTACATTTCATTCATTTCAAAAATTGATTATAAATTTTAATCTTCGAAGGATAAAATTATATTCAAAGGTCAAAACATGGAATGTCACAATTTTCATAGAAAATATATAATTTAACATAATTTGGGTATTTGAAATTATGTTGCAATTGTCCAACCCTCCTCTGATAATCCTCAGCCCGATGAGGCTGCATCAATTTCCATAATCAATCACATTTATAGATATGTATATAACCGACCAACATAGGGATGCCAGAATGAATCAATACCATGTTAGGGGTACTCTCAGAGAATTGCTATTTAGGAATATGCAAATTGCAAAGATTTTGCAAATCATCATAATGATATTGAATATTCCATGAATTAATGATGCATTGAACAAAGAACAAACACATGCGCATTAAAGCAATACGACAATCTGCGCTTTATCTGCAGCTCACAGGGCAGGTGTTATGATTTATGAAGGAGATGTATGTATGCCTCAAATTTCTTGAGTCTTCATTGAGAATTCTGAGATAATCAACCTCAAA